ACGCCAAAAGTAATTTGTACATAGATGAGACACTTAATAATTGACATTGACATTCTTTCTCACTATACCTTTTTCCTGTAATGCAGAAGAAAAACAATAGATCAACTGAATAGTATTTAATATGCATACAATTCAAGAACAAAACGTAAATAATGCATTTACTTTTGGTCCTAAATTTGAAGATGAAAATAATGCATTCAAAACAATTTCCCTTCATCAGTTGTTCGTTCTATTTAATTAATACTTACACGTGAGAAAATATTTTTTTTTCACCATTTCAAGTAACAAAAATACAATATTGTCTTTTTCAATTGGTTCTTATTGAGAACATATTTACCAATCCAATTCAATAGATATCGATTTTTTTGTAAATGAATGAAGTGGGTTGTAAAAAGAAATGCGGATTCCTGTACATATATGACAAGTAGGTTACCCAAGATTCGAACCTAGAACTATTAGGGGGTTAGAAACTTTGGCTTTAGTTCAGCCAAAATAAACTTGAGGATCAGCATGTTAGAGAACCTATGTTTCAAAATGTTATTAATTATTAGAACTGGAGGAATTATAAGAAAATCAACATTAAAAGCTGTATATAGCTAGAAATAAATCTTACTATCAATGACGGGAAGACAAAGTCTAGCCTATATTTATCAGGTAGGTGAATGAACCTAATGCCGGTTTCATCAAAGTAAAAAGGAATTTCAAAACAAATTAGATTTAGAACATTAAAATTTGTGCTTTTCTCTGATCCAATTCGTAACCCCAAATTTCAGCTGCCTTGTGCATAAAAACTAAAGTATTTATAATATTAAAGAACAGAATCCTTTTATTCACCGAATCCTTAACATCTCGAATATATTCTGACTAAATCTACGAATTCCCATTCTCAAATAGAAACAAAAAAAACTGTACAAAATAAAAATGGCAGAATAGATACCTCGATCATTAACCTCAATATCTACATCTCCGAGAATAGACCGTGCTTTAGCTATAGAAGACTTCGTCACCGCTACAGATTTTCCGAGTCCAGTTCGAAACATGGGTGGACTCTCCGCGTTTTCCTTCGCATTCTCCAGTAACTTTGAACAATCTATCAGAAAAATCAACTTACAGTCACTAGGAAAGGAAGCTTAAAACATATGCATAAAATTGTAA